TCGTCGGTGATGTGCTGATCGGAGATAAAATGTGCCAGTAAGTTTTAGACAAAACATGGGTGCGATCAACTCGGACTCACAATAGAACATTGAGTTTTATCAAATCAAAAGTAAGCCTTGATAACGAATTGGACTTAGGCTTAAGCTTAACAGCCGATTCGTTGAGAATAATGCGATGAAAAGTTGATACAATACACATCCTGTTTAATAAAATACAATATATAATCCTACGTTTTTAGACAATATGACAAACTGAGTGTGGTTTAGAGTTTTACCATTTTTCATGAACAGAGACACGAAAATTTTGTTTTAGCTGTTGATTCTTGTTTCAAAACTATAAAAGACGCTTATTACCCGGACATTTTTCGCGGAACTGATATTGACTCATTTATTCAGCTCCACAAAATACACAAGTAAAAGCTCACATTTACAATTTTGAATTGATTCTCTCATTGCTTTTTGATCTCCAACAAATGATCGAAAAAAGTATTATTGATAGAATGTGAAAGACGAAAGCGGTAAAGCTAAGCGCAATTTCAGCTGCGTGTCCCTCGGAGCACTGTGATACAAAATTGAGGCTGTAGATGAGCAGAAATAATCCCTGAATTTTGCAATATAAGAAGATTTGAAAGGTAGACGATTTTTACCAGCATTTTCAAGGAAAGCTTATTGTTTTTTTAAATCTCACCGCCACAATTATGTAGCATTGACGCAGTGCCCAGTGTTCAGTGTAAATCCAGAGCGCTCCAGCCATTACACCAGTTAAGTTCATGGCGAGCAAAACGAAAGCAATCCAAAAATACATTTTGGTGAGTGGCTGAACGTTTGCGTGACTTTTGCTAAAATTTGGATAGTGAGGAGGTGCTCTAATGTTTGTAGAATTTGATCAGGGGACTCTTTGAAGTTAGATTTCAGGAGCAATCTGATTCCGAGGTGCAAACAGCCCAAAGCTGCTTTCAAATCATATTTATCATAAGCCGTTTTCGAAATCTAAGCCTTTTAAGTGTCAACCAATTTCGCCAAACCGGCCTACCCTAGCAGTCAGCTAGCCTACCCTAGCAGTTAGCTAGCCTACCCTAGCAGTTAGCTAGCCTACCCTAGCAAGCTAGCCTACCCTAGCAAGCTAGCTAGCCTTGGCACCGACCAGTCGGTGTGCCTCGTTAGCCTAGTCAATAGTGTTCTAACACCACACACCTTTTGTCCCTGGTTCGAATCCAGAGATCAGCGCCAAAGCTTTAAGTAGGCTAGCTTGCTGTTTGGTAAAATTGGTCGAAACTTAAATGGCTTATACAGTCGAACCTCTCTATAACGTAACTCACGGGACGGCTATAGCTTACGTTATATAGAGGTTTACGTTATATAGAGTGCCGTTTTATATAGCTTAACGTCGGCCGGGACCGGTCACGCCTTACGTTATAGAGAGGTTTACGTTATATCGAGGTTCGTTATAGAGAGGTTCGACTGTATCTTGAAAACGGCTTATCGCAAGTAGAATTTTAGCAGTTTTGAGATACCCTTAATCAGGCTGTTTGCACCTCGAAATCAAATCGCTGCTGAAATCTAATTTCAAAGAATTCCCTGATGAGAAACTCACCTTTCTCGAGTCTCGTTGTGCACCTCCAGATATGCAATGAAATTCAAAAGAGGCGGTGCAGCTAGAACAACAAGTAGGAGAATCCACAAAAGCTGAAATGATTTCACTTCCTTAAAACAAGACAAAAGGTCACCTTTAGTTTAGTTTGGCGTCTTGATGCCTTCTTTCTTTGTCTCACCTGAATATAAGCTATAAACTAACTTCTTCCAAAGCTTTTAAGAAGTAATACAAAGTGATTTGTTTGTTTGTAAGTTTAGGTTTCTTCATAAGTAAAAAGTACAACTATCAACTGTCAAAAAGTACAACTAACAGGGAAAGAATCCTAAAGTTCAGTTAGGTTGATTTCAAAGAATTTCTCCTTTGATTCAGAACTTTTCACTTCAGATTGAGGTCATGTCTTTATCACTGCACATTTTACATTCCCAGCTTTTAAATCTCACCAAATTTTCTGTTGAATTTCCCATTCCATTGTCCTCAATTCTCCCTGGTTGATCTGAGGAATCTTGAGGGATCGTAATTGAAGAAATTCGAATAAAAGCTGCTGCATCGTTTGAAACATGATTCTGCAAACAAAATTTTACTGATATAAGCTTTTACCAAACCCGTTCTCCAGTTCGACTCACTTCTGGAACAATAGCATAGCCTATACTGGAATCATTGCTAGTTGTTGCAGTCGTGTCAGTTGTTCTCTAGAATTTTATTTTCAACTTCAAAGCATTTCTCAATACAGAGATAAAATGTTTTATTAAAATTCTAGTTTCTAACACTAACTCGCTTCATTGAGCCCCAAACGTGTCCACTTTGGTTTATTGGTTCACCAGCTGAAGTACGACCAAGTCTTCCTGAAAAATCAAAAATCGTGAATTAATAGGCTAGTTTTTTAAGCAGAACTTAAGAAAATAAACCTAGTTTAGCACTTTTTCACTCTTTTGAATCTAGCCAGCTAAACACAAAGTTCATTTCTTGTTTTTTCACTTTTTTCTTTTCTCAACCGTAAGCAGGGCTGTCCCGTTCCCAAAGTCGATTTGCCAGGTCAAGACAAGGCCAACCCAATAATTTTTGCTCAATTTCCCGTGAACTCCCGGCTAAACCAAGCCAAAGCCAAAGTTTCAGCCCAAATCCAACAATTGGCTTCGACTGGGCTTCGACTGGGCTTCGGTTTGGCTTCGACTGGGCTTCGGTTTGGCTTCGGCTTGGCTTCGGCTTGGCTGCCGCTTAGCTTCGGCTTGGCTTCGGCTTGGCTTCCGCTTAGTTTCGGTTTGGCTTCGGCTTAGCTTCGGCTTGGCTTCGGCTTGGTCTCGGCTTGGCTTTGGGTTGGCTTCGCGTTGGTCTCGGCTTCGGGTTGGTCTCGGCTTGGCTTTGGCTTGGCTTCGGGTTGGTCTCGGCTTGGCTTTGGGTTGGCTTCGGCTTGGCTTCGGCTTGGCTTTGGCTTGGCTCCGGGTTGGCTTCGGCTTGGTCTCGGCTTGATCTCGGTTTGGCTTCGGCTTGGTCTCGGCTTGGCTTCGGCTTGGCTAGCTATCTTGGCTAGCTTCGGCTAGACTGGCTTGGCTTGCTTTTTTGAAACGACCCCGCCCTAAGGGCCAACCAATAAAAAGCTCCTCAAAATTCTGAATTAAAAAGAAAGCTCTGTCTGTAAACTGATTGAAACTTGAAGAAAAAGAAAGAAAATAAAAATCTGTTAGATAAAGTTACCAGTTTCCAGTTTCAGCGCCTTTGCATTGACTCAAAAGTAAATCTCATCAAAAACAAACTCATTCAAAGCTTACTGCTTTTGCTGTGATTGAGCAGGGCTAGCGTATTGTGGGTCAGGAGTCGTCTTGGTCGAGACGACGACCAGGATTTTGTCGTAAATGTTGCAGTGCTTTGAATGCATTGCTCATGGCTTTGTTCTAAAAATTTTCTGTTGACAGAGAACAATGAAAAAGTTAATAAATTGGTTTAAGACTTACTTAGAGTAAAAACGAGGCTGGAATGTGGGCAATGCAATGGCAATGGAAAAGTGAAATTTTCCTCGAAAAATTGCGGGCATTTTCTGGCGAAAGAATTTCTTTTGGATTCTTTTTTTGATTCTTTTGAATTCGAATAACGAATATGCTTCAAAATTTTCTAATCAGAACAATAAAAACCTGGTGGACACTGAGAAACGGTGATTAAACACTGCAATTTCGTCTTTTCTTTTCCAAGAAATGGTCAAAAAGCAGAAAAGCACTTGTGAATGACATTAAAACAAAAGTGACAAGTAAATGAAATTTCTGTGAGAGCGAGTGTGGAATTTGTAGCAAAAATGCAGCCAAATTTGGAGTAAAAGTTGGAGCCAGGGATTTGGGTATAGTGGAGCCGACAAAAAGCTCTTCTAGTTTAGTTTCTTGTTTCTGAGTTTCTCTAAAGGTTGAGACTAGTTAAACTCAAGTTCCATTTGGTAGACTCAGCAAAAATGAATATCTCCAATTTTTCATTCCAATTAATGTCTATTTTCTATCATAGTTTTTGCTTAATTTAAGAAAATTGAGTTTTCTTGCTTCTAAACTGAATATTCTGCTGCGAATCTGTGATCAGTTTTTTGATATCTTGTTCAGAGCAGAGCTATAAGTGTTTTTCGGAGCTGGCAGCACTGCTAAATATTCTCCAAGGTGTTCAGCAAAACTCGAGATTTGCCAAGAACGTTTGGTGAACCCAAAAATTTAGCTTAAATTTAGCAGCTGGTGAGACTCTGGTCCAAATCAAAATAATCAGACGATCAGATCAAGCACTCGGTCAACCTAATAGTGAGGCCATGTTCTCCAAAAGATCAACTCATCATTAATAAAGCGATAACAATGGTGTTTCACCACCTTTAGCATTCGAGCAAAGTTCTTTGCAAAGCCATTGTTCAGGAAGCCTTTGGTTGCAGACACTTTTTGAGTGACGAGGAATATCCTGAGCCAAGATTGCGGAACAGATCTCGCAATTAAATGCAATTAAAGCATTAAAAACTGCAACTTGCTCAACAAATAACTAATTTACTTGCCTATTAATCTGTCTTTTCATTGGATAGATCTATTCTCCATCATAGTTTTTGCAATCTTGAATCTGAACAGAGTTCTTTGTCAGAAATAGTCAACTCCAAAGAGTGATCAACCACTGTCATGCCTTTCAATGAAAATTTGTGAACAGTCACCATTTCTGATCCGGATTTTCTCAAAAATCCAATTTAGAAATTTCAAAATAATCTAAACTTCTTTATCTTTTTATGATGAGAGAAAGGTGAGGAAGATGGAAAAATTTTGGGGAATTTTTCGTGATAAGGAAATTGCCTTTTTTAAAAGAGGAACCGTGTGATTGCTGGACGGAAAACATCAACAAAATTTTTATTACTTCGAAAAATCGTATTTTTGGTCAATATTGAGTTTTTTGAATCTTCTGAAGGATGAGCAGGCCTCCACCAGCGTACCCAGACTTTGGTTCGTTTCAGGAATTTTAGATTTTAAATGTTTTAAACTTTGTTAACTTTGAATTTTATGAATTTATTGAATTTTTTTAGCATTTTTCAGTTAGTACTTCATCTTTTGCGAAGAATAAACCACCTCTAGCATACGTCGAAGATGAGACTGATGAGGTAAAGTTATCAAAGTTATCAATGACAAGCATTTAGCCATAACATTTTAAGGTATTTCCGGTTATTTTTACTGCTCTTTTTCCAGTTCTCTAATTAGTATTAGTATTCTAATCTAATTCCAGATCCTAATATACGTTTTTTTTATTAATCTTCTAGCTATTGTACGTAGCTTATTGCTAGATTGTGGGAATAGCAGGAAAATGATTGCATGAATTTTTAATTGCCAACAATTACCCTTTCTATTTCCCTTACTACTAGTAGATCAGTTTGTTAGCTTATAACTAACTTAAAAACATAACTAGGCCAAGCACTTACCTAGCTGTCCATAATTGCTTACAATGATGTCTGGTATGGTCCTGGCAATGGCTAGTTTGGTTTGACCTAAATGTTATTATCAGATTCATTTTCTCTACTTGATTCTAAAGCCATTCCCTTGATCGAAAGGCTCAAACTTATTTTCTTTATATTCTGTTTTATATTTTATTCCTTTTTCAGCCAAGAGCTGACAATTTGGACCCGCAAGCTCTTCAAGCAGCTCTTCGAGTAGAAATGGCGCGAAGGAAACGTCTCGAAAGGGCACTGCAAAGGGAAAGAGAAGTCAGACTTTAAACTAAACTGTCTGAAATCTATTTTGTGCTAAATGGAAACACAATATTTCTTTGTGTTTTATTCAAAAAAGAAATCTAGGCAGCCCAACGCGAGACCTCATCCGGGCACTTGAATCATGTGAGCGTTATTCGAGCACCGAGACGAGAACAACCGAGAACGGTTGGAGTGCTGGGTTGGTTAAAGTGTTTAATAATCGTAATTAACAAAACATCTTGCTTTCAAGATAGATATTCACTTATTTAATTGAAATTCTAATATTCTAATAGCCAAACTACTGATTCACTGAAAAACTGGACTTCTCTGAACTTGCTTGAGGCAAGTAACGTTCTAAAGTATTGTAACATGATTAAAAGAGGCAAAAAAATAATCTTAAAAGATTTTCAACAAGCTTGAAAAGAAATTAGCAGGCTGTTAGACTCTAATAAACATCCGCAGTTCGGTTTTGTATTGTTCTAGCAGGGTTTTCCGAACACCAACTCTTTTCCGAACAAGAGCTTATCGTTAACTACCTAAATTTTTGATCCTACAGTAGAACTTTTAAGATATCAATCATCGGAGTGGCTATCGGCGATCGCAGGCTTGCAGCATATGTTGTAGCAATGTCTTATTCCACATTTCGCCACAATCGCAAAGCTGTAGAATATTTATTATTATTATACTTGTCCTTAGCCCATGTTGCTGGCCTTTTCTTGGTGAGTTTCGAATTTTAAAGGTTTTTGAGTGATTTTTGAAAGAAACCAAGAACTAATCAACACTTGAACTCATTAACAAGACTAACACCACGTTTTAGCCATCTGGCTAGTTCATTACGCTTGTCATAATGATGATACTGGAGGGACGTGTCGATTCTTTTAGACTCTCCAACAAAGAAATGTATTTTCCCAATGTAATGCCTGATATTTAGAATAAAGCTTTTAAAATTTCACATGATTCACAAGCGGTCCAGTTATTCAAATACGTCAAGATGAAAAGTGAGAAAAGATTTTCAACATTCAATGAGAATTAAAGTATGCATCATCACGATTTCTATATAACATCCGGGCAACAAGTTTAGAATTTGAGAATTCCCATAATTCCCATGCTGATTAAACTTGAGAAGTCGCTTTGTCAAACGTCAGAGATTACAGGTTAAGAAGGCTGAAATCTGACGTCCCACCAGTCAACCCTGGAGATAAGAAATTATTAAAAATCGTTGTAACATTGAAATTTCTATTTTAGAAACTTTTAAAAAGCGAACCTTGTTCTCTAATATTTATGGAATCTAATTGTGGGACGTTGTCTGACAATGAGCTTCAATTAGACGCTGCATCATTAATGCTACGCCCTACAGCTTACTCCATTGATCTAAATGGAAATGTGCATTTGGTCACTCACCCACCTTCACAAGCAAGAAGTGTGATAGACGTTGACACCATTGTTGAAGACTGGCTTCAGCCCAAGAAAAGAAGATCCAATACAGGTCAGTAACGTTGACATCAGAGTTATACGGTCGGAAATCCAGTTAAATTCGTTTCACGGTATTTTGGACCGAGTCGGACCAGATAAATTCACCGGGCCTAAATCCTTGGCCTAGTAAACCACCGTTTTTCTGAGTCCAATGAATGATTGGTCCGCTTGAAACGAATCGGCACGGTTAGACAGTTGTACAGGACTTGTTGGTTGTTGTTTTTGATACAGAAATAGTTAGACAGGACAGTTGAACGGTTGCATAGTGATCCGGTAACCAAATCGAACCGGGAGAACTAGAAAGCTGGATAGCTCTTGAAATAGCACACTCTTGAAATTACTTTAGATTGAACTGATTATTTTCAAGTACAAGATACAGTAGTAATCACTTCAGCTTCACCTTTGGTATCTTTCTTCTTTTAAATCTTTTGCTATCTTTCAGCCGATATACTCTTGCCTGTAGGTGGATGTTTTTTGGAAGTGCTGGCAGATGTTTGTAAGTTATTGCTTCATTGCTTTATCCTCGTTCTTTGCCTTCCCCTTCTCCCGTGTATTGGTGGGTTTCAAACTTTTAAATCTGATATTAATGCATTCTTGTAACACCATAGACAAAATTAACACCGAAATTTCAGTCTGCGGTATAATTGCTTATTGTCATAGTCATGACAATGATGATGGTTCATGATACAAGCCTATAAAGCAAATCTTTATATGTTCTAATAAAGAATTTCTTTAGTTACTTTCTCAGTCTGTACAGCTTTTTTTGTGATAGTTAATCACTTCTCGACTCTAATACATCTTTAATATAAGCTTCCAAATAAAGCTTGCAAAGAACAAGAAAGCTTTTAATTAGAAAGCATTCAATGGAGGCATTTACTCGACTCGTATTGACTTTTTCTCACTTTTGATAGTCCATTGTATTTATTGTATTCATTCTATAGTTGAAACAACCATTGTATCTATTGTATACATTCTAATTGACGGTGATAACAATGATACAGCTACATTTTATCATCCTACTCTAAAAGCAACGCGTTGAAGATTTATCAATCTTGTTGTAAGAAATATATTTATACTTTGATCTTTATAACTTTTTGTGAGACCGTGTCTCGGTGTGGTTCAATGGTAGATGTCTTGAAAACGCACAATTTATCAAAACTTTCCCTTATTAGGGCAAAATTCGCTCAAACTGGAGCAACCTGGCACTATCAAAATTACTTCAACACTGGCGTGAGAAACAAGGGATGAATAAAAAAGAGCGCACACAACCGACTCAAAACAAAGCTTAAATAATGGGTTTTCAAGTACACAAGTTACGTCAAACGGACAACTGAATATCTTCTAGTGGCTGATTACGGTAGTTTATTCATCAACTTTGAATTTTAACTTGTGCATTGAATTTTTGACTAACTGCAGAGCAGTGGCAATTCGCCACACTCTTCTAACAAAGGAATAAAAAACACATTTTTATTCACACAAATAATGTATTACAAACAATACAAAAGCACAACCCTTAAGCCCTAAAATAGGAAGAAAACCCATATATATATATATGAAAAAAAGTAAACAAGGATCTAGCCAGCGGGAGGAACCCCTGATCTCCCGACTAAGATGTAGGGCTCTTAGCCAGTCGACCATGATGTTATTTTATTTAAAATCACTCAAAATTTCACAATGATTGAAATAATGTTTCTAGTTTTGTCGAAGATGACACCATGACGACCCTCTCCGCCAGTTAGATGGCCGGATAGACCCTGAAAAGACAAGCTATAGACCAAATTAGGTTTATGTCCACAATTTTGATTAACTAGATAAAAAAATCATCTGGTTTATATTTAAAGATGCTTTAGCTTTGCTTTTGTTGACTTTTTCAGTCTTATTTATGGGGAAAAGAACCTAGCCGCGGGATTGAAACCCTGACCTCCCGACTAAGATGTAGGGCTCTTAGTCAGTCGGCCATGGTGATGAACGACCAGAACTTTGAACATTTGGGTCATTAAGAGCTCTCTCCTCGAGTCTCAGCCATTTCCTTGTAAGGCTAGAGCACCTTGATTGTGAATCTATTCAAATTAATTGAAATCGGTACTGGTTTCAGTCAATAGAACTGAAAATAGAAAGTTTTTACATTTCCAATGTATATTCCAATGTATCTAATCTATATTCTTATATATTCTTTCCAATTTTGATACTCAACTTGGGAAAGATACGTCATTAAAATTCAAGATTAGACCTTAAGTTGCCAAAAAACGGTCACTTTCAGTCAACTCTAGAGATAAGAAGTCCAAAATCGACGTAACATTGAACTTTTCTTTTATTTTAACTTTATAATCTTTAAATGGATCACTTTCCTCCGGATCGGGTTGTGACCGAAAATCGAAGTACATTTCTTGAAAATGCAGGTCAATTTACAATTAGATTCAATGAACCATTACCAAAGTTTTTCAAATTTCACATTCAAGATCCAATACTAGACTATTTTGATATCTTTCAGTCCAAACAGTCAAACAATCGCAAACTGGCAAATTATTCATTATTATCGTGTTTATCCTGAGTCCATGTTGCTGGCCTTTTGTTAGTGAGTTTTGAATTTTCAAAGCTCTGTTTTATGAACGATGTACCAATTTATTTGGAGCACAATTTGGCTGTATTCTGAAAGATTCTAAAAGAATGACAGTACTTTAAAGTTTTAGTATGCTGGTTAATTCAAGACGGACGTAATAATGAAGATTGTTGAAGGAAAAGCTCCCATAGATTTTCAACAAAGAATTCATATAGACTTCCTGTGATCTAGTCACTTCCTCAGCTAAAAACGATCGCTTCTAGTCGCATTTTGTGAGAATCATTTCTTCTACTGAATCTTTACTGTAATGATTGATGCTTGAAATAAAGCTTACAAAAGATAATACAGAGTGTTCAATATTTTTGGAGACTTTTGAGTTTGAAGCTTTAGCGCTGCCAAAATCGGTTTAGGAAAAAATCATGAAGAAATCACTGGATTACTGAAAAAGTGACTTAAACTTGTTCAAGTATATGTGTTTTTTCTTTTTAACATTAGATTTGTACAAACGAGCCTAAACCTACCGTAAATACTGTAATTGGACCCCACCCTCTAATAGTACCCCCACCCTAGAGGGGGAGGGAAAAAATAATACCCCACCCCTCTAATAGTACCCCACCCCACCTAACGCGTAATTACAAACAACTCTTTTAAAGCGGAAAATTTTCATGTATTTTCAGAAATCGTTTGTATTTTTAATTTTATCCCATAAATTTGTTGTTTTTAAATTTGGGGTGGCTACTTTGCGCCAAATTTTTGCGCAGCTCGCCATAACTTTCTTCTAAGTGGGCCAGTCTTTATGATTGTAGATCTCAACAAGTGCAACAAAGTAACACCAAAATCATAAAGATTGGCCCACTTAGAAGACTTGAACCACTTAGAAGCCACTTGAACTCGGAGGGGATTGATATCGGTTTGGCTGAATGGATACGGGATCGTCGAGCCGAGAAGAAACGAGTGACACGCCGGATTATCTGGAATGAAGCGGCTAATCGATTCGAAAAAGCTGAAATTTCTTTCAAAAGAAGCCATGGCTGGATGGAGTCGTTCTTGAGGCGCCACCAACTTTCTTTGAGGCCATCAACAACAACTTGTCAAAAGCTGCCGAGCAAATTTGAGAAGGCCATCGTCGAGCACATTCTGAGGCTGAACAAGACAATCAAAGAAGGCGATTACAAGCACATTGTTGCTTGCGATGAGACGGCGTTTTGGCTGGATGCTTCGACGAGCAAGTGCATCGAAGCGGTTGGAGCCAAAGAAGTTGGTGTTAGAGATCAGAGATGGAAATCGGACAGAGACGGAAATCGAGGACCTCTTGGGGCCGCTCGCATCGACGGGATTTCAAGGACATCGAGGAATTGATGATCAAGAAAATGATGAATTCATTGATTCAGATGTTTCTATTGATTTCGCTTGTTAGTTGTTTTTGTTCCGTTTTGCTGTTAAATTTTCAAATGGTTAAAACCAATAAAAACTAAAGAAAAAGTTTGCTTTTGAAAAAATTATTTGAATGTATCCTGATTTGGTAACTTGAATAGTGGTGTAAAATAGTGACCCACCCTCTAATAGTGCCCCACCCTAGAGGGGGAGGGAAAAATAGTACCCCATGGGGTCCAATTACAGTATTTACGGTAGTGATTTATTGGTCCGCATAAATATTGAACACTATGTACTGTTCTTTGAACACCTAGACGATGCTGAGTCACGCTTGGCTACCCGTTTGGACCACGTGACGCAATGCTGAGTCACGCTTAGCTACCCGTTTGGACCACGTGACGCAATGCTGAGTCACGCTT